GTTTAGAAACAAATAAATTATCTTTATTTACAGAATTAAAAATTTTCTCCAGTTTTTCAAGATATTCCATCATTTGAGGAGTAGGTTATGAAAGACCACCTTTACTTAAATGAGAAATCCAGGTGAACTCATTTAAACTAGATAAAGTTACAATTGAATCTACATCCTTCAGCTTGTGACATGTATAACCTGCCAAATTTTCTAAACCGTCATATTCGGTTTAGAAAATGAATTCTAAACTGAGCTCACTATCAAACATATAAGTAGGTGCTTCTGGTATATTAGGAGTTTTATCTTCTTCGATATTTCCAATGCTGGAAAGAGAGCCTTCATTTCTTCCAAGAATATAGGATCGTAGACGGTATTTAAATCGCAATAATGAATAGGTGTCATGAGAATTATTAAATAATCCTAATGTACTTTTATTTCACCTTTTTGGAATGAAAGCAAGCATTTCTTTTCTTTGACCCGGAGATTTTTCACTGTGTCCATCATTTTTGTAATGATCATCTTGGATATTTAAAGCTAATGTAGAAGCTTTTCTTGGCTCCCTAGAGTCACTCGAATACTCTCTGACATTCATAATATCAAACCAATCATTTACCTAAAATTTATTATTTATACCATCGCCATATTTATATAAAAGTATTTATTTACAAATAACAAAAAACAACAAAATATGCCTACCAATTTAAAAAATTCTGCATATTCAAGCCAGTTTGCTTGTTTGAATAACCCCATTGTTCCACATCTTAAAATTGCCATGAAAATGGTGTGGGAAAATAACTTAGTTGCTAATTTCACTTTTTGTCTTCCAGTGCCTTGAATGTTGAGACTTCTTTAATATTTTATGCGTAATTTTTAGATCTGAAGTACCAGTAATATCTGATCTAAAGGCCTAGTATTATTTTGTCCAGATTATCTTCTTCAGTTTTAACCCTTAAACAAAGTCATTAGAGTTAAAGTATACAGGACCATATATTCCAGATATTAAAAAAGACAGACCAGTTAAGATAGTGATATAGTTAAGATAGTGATATACACTATAACCCTCTTATAGTTAGGTATTTTTTACAACAAACTAACACAATACTACAGTTCCGCTCTACAAAAACAAATATTTAGTAATGAAATCATTAGACATGATTATTTACCACTTCAATATAATAAATATTACGTACCTATTTAATAATTCATGCACAAGTCTTTTTTGTTGCCGGTTCGTTCTATCAGAATTCGCCTTCTCGTTCTGTTTATTTTTTTTTTTAGAAAATGTATTGACGGAAAAGCGTCTTTTTTAAAGAACGATGTTTTCCTGCTGTATACCCCAGCAATTCATGTTTTAAATTAGGTTAATAATTACTTTCAATAAAGTGCTTCAACCAAACACGAGCAAGTTTAACATTAAAACCATCCTGGCGTCTACACAAATGTTTCCAAACAGCCTTTTCTTGTCTTTTGGAAAGCTATAGAATGCTGTACCGGGTACAAAACTCTTGTACATATTGTCAACGGCACACCTCATATTGCGAAAAATTTAAAGCCTTTAACACTCTCAAAATATTATTTTACTAAATATTGGATGTGAACCGTAAATGTACATAAATATCAAAACACAATATGGAGAAATTTAGCACAAGCTGACGTCACATAAGCCACGCCTACATGCGCGGTATCTTATCTGTTTATTTGTATCATGTGTATACAATTTACTAGTTCATAGTTTTTTTACGTAACTAATTATTTTGTAATGTACTATTTCATTTTTCTCCTAATGGGCTTATGGGTCTTCATTATTATAATCAATTGTTCAATTGGCTCACATCGACCAATAATATACCAGAAGAAGTTGAATAATCACACTTTTCGTTTTTTTCTGTTAGAATATAAATAGCAGTTTTCTAAACATTTATTTGAGAAACCCCATAAGTCAATCAAGTTTGAACTTATAGAGATTGTTCTCAATATTTTTTTCCAGAAATATTGGGAGTGAAAAAGTCAAGAAATAGTGTATAAATGGAATTATGTAGATCAGTTTTTAACATGTCGAAATCTTCGTGATTTCTTCACAGTTTTTTCTTATTTTCCTAAAGATTTAGTTTTATGACTTATGGGGTTTCTCAAATAAGTAATTCCTACTGTATTTACAATTCCATTGTAAAAGAGAAACTGCTATAGATAAATTCACATTCAGATGGCAGCGTTACAGAGATAGGCCTGTACATTCTATATGCCAGAAATAACTACGTTGTTGTCAGTTTTTAATCGTACCAACAATCGTACGTTATGGGCCGGCTCCTATAAAAGAATTATAATTTCGGAAATATTTATGAATGTGAAACGGAAAAATACTACATTTTTTTAATTATATAATTTTTCTGTTGGTATTTTAAAAATTGAAAGTTATATTTCGGAAATCTGGTCTTTTCGGAATTATATCTTCTGTTCAAAATTGTTTACAATTCGTGGAAATGAAATAATTATTTGTATAATCCGTTTTTGATCTTAATGTCCTTTTAATGACACACTTTCTCTACCTGCATTTACAGTTACAAACATTAAAAAATAATTTAGAATTAAAAAAATATACCTATTTATAAATTCAAAATTATTTTCTAATGCCAGCAATTATAAATTCAGGTAAATACTTGAGAGTCATTAAAAAAATTTTCAGTTGATATCAGACGTTTGTGTCGTGTCAGTGTCAAAATGGCCGCGAGTGTAATAAAATTCAAAAACGGTAATTTGTTAAATAGTGAATGCAAAAAAATAGTGTTAAATGTTTTTAACTATTTATCAAACAGTAATAATGATAAAAGTATATCAACAATAGTGCGGGAAGTTTCTGCTATGACTGGAGTCTCTGAGCGAACGATATTCCGATATAGAAGTGAAAGTAAAAATGGTCCACTCGTAACTCCTATAAGAAAAAAAAGAACCGGTTATTTGAATAGTCGTGAGAATAGATATGATGAAGCAACTCGGTCTAGAATAAGACAAGTAGTGCACGGTTTTTTTATGGACAATATTCCTCCAACCCTTGACGTAGTACTAGAAAAAATTAAGCAAATGGAGCATCTTCCGAATTTTTCCAAGAGTACGTTGAGAAGACTATTGCACGACATGGGTTTTATATATGGCAAACAAGGTAGAAATTCAATATTAATAGAAAAACAAGAAATAGTCGCTTGGAGGCGTCACTATCTCCGGGAAATAAAGAAACTGAGGAACGAAGGAGCCAATATCATTTATATGGACGAATCATGGGTTAATACTGGAATAACCAATGGGCAAGTATGGCAAGATATAACAATAAAAAATAGCCGACAGGCTTTCGTAAATGGACTTACCATAGGTTTAAAAACTCCGACCGGAAAAGGACCAAGATTTGTTTTAATCCATGCAAAAAATGATTGCTGAAGGTTGACATCATGCAAGTCGAGGATGGACGGAGATCTATTTGAAAGATGGTTTGAAGAAATGTTAATACCGAATCTCCCAAAAAATAAAAAGAATGTCATTATCTTGGACAATGCATCTTATCACTCTAGGAAATTAAATTTTCCCAAACAATATTGGGTGAAACGTCAAATTAAGGAGTGGCTCTATGAAAAGGACATTTATTTTGAAGAAGATTACTTAAAAAATGAACTTCTGGAAACTGCTAATGTATTTAAAAATATTTATGACAAATACAAAATGATTGTATTGGTGAAAAATACAGGAATCACAGTGACGAACAATGCCGCGTAGATGTACATATCTTAAGACTTCCGCCTTATCACTGTGAACTGAACCCAATAGAAATGGTGTGGAATGAAGTGAAACGGTACGTGTCCTCTAAGAATTCAAGTTTCAAACAAAACGACGTTAAAACATTGATTTATGAAGGTTATGATAAAGTACAGAACAATGGACATTGGAAAAATTACGTCAACCATGTTATAAAATTGGAGAATAATTTTTGGACAGTAGACAACATTCAAGATGACATTGAACCTATTAGAATTTCATTAAACGATGACTCTGAAGATGAACTAGATTATGAAAATGAAGATGATTGAAAATTGTTTTTCGGGGGTATTCTTTTCTCAGTAAAGGTAATAAAATATTTAGCTGATCTGGTTTAAATGTAGCACACTTAAATAACTCATTAATCGACATAATTTCAAGTAGTTATATTAGACGTCATTATGCAAAAAATAAAGTTATAACATTTAATAAATTAGTGCACAATTGAGGCCCCTAGAACACAAGGGGTGTAAGTGCCAAAAACAAAGGTGAATCTGAATTGATAATTTAAAAACCTAGGTAGCACTTTTTCAGTTTTCAGCATGTTTTCAATGACATGTAATTTTTGATGGTGTTATTGTTGTTAATGTAGAAAGTTTGAAGCCAAAAGTACGTGCCTGTTGTTAGATATCAGTTGCTAAGTGATAAGCAACTGCACTTACACCCTTGTGTTCTAGGGCCTCAATTAGGGTTTTTTTTTGCAATTATCTCAGTCATTTGTTTATGTATTTTAATTTACAAACTAAAAAATTAAAAAACTTTTTAAGATCTGCAACATTTATTTGAAACATTTTTCCCTAAAATGCACGAGGAACAAAATAGGCAAAAAAATGATTTTTTCCAAACTTCATCTTTCTTTAAAAAATAAACAAAGCAAAATTGGCTGTAATTCTTCAAGGAATTATCATCAGTTATCCCTTATCTACCGTTTAGAACATTAAAAAACCTGTAGAATATTTTTCATATTTTTTTCCCGATTAACTGCGGTATTATGTATAAAAGCATTTTTGGAATTATCACCATTTATTTCATTCACGAATTTTCTATTAACAACTTTAGCTTACCTAAACATATCTTAGTTTACCGTGAGTTTGGCCCTGCTTATTTTACAAAAGTAGCAAAACTTACAATGGCAGTAGAATTGGCAACGCTGTTATCCTATATCCGTACACTGCCATCTGAACGTGACTTTATCTATAGGAACTTACTGATTGCGTCATGTACTTTTTGTGCCTCCGCAATGTTAATATTTGGAATTCCGTATAGTTCTCTTAAGATGTAGGCTCGTTCACGGCCTTCCTTACACCTCATGTAAATATCGTCTATATAATTAAGTAGGTCTCGTTTTTTAGCAAGTTCTAGTAGCACGTCGATTGAATAGTTCCAATCCGCATAATCTTCTGGCGTCTTAACTTTCTTATAAAAATTTTTTAATTCCGTAACCAAGTCTTTATTGTAAACATACTTAGGTCGTTTGATAAAACCCCAAGTTTCTTGGTTAGTCGCTTCGAAGTAGTGTTTTTCGGAGTACGTATATTTTTGAATGTGTGATTTTCTGTACTGTGTTGAATTGAGAATATCTCTGAGTATATCGCCTATTAACGTGCTTCGTACTCGTGTTGTCAAGGTGTTTTCAATTTCATTTATTTTTTCGTAAAAATTTTCTTGGTAAACATTACCTAAAAAAAATACAAAATATCAATATCGACAGTATATAGGTACATATGGGTCTACATTATGTATAAATCACAACTACCCGATTACGAAGTGACAAACTGAATACAGGGAATGACAACGTGAACATCATATGTGCCTACGCTCCACAGGGTACGAACGTAAAAGGAAGAATTTTGGAGACCCCCGATTGCCAGATGCTCAATATTCCTGTAGACGAAAAATGTTTTATTGCAGGTGATTTAATAAATGGACCTCTTAGTAGAGAAAGACCGGGAATAGAAAGAGTTCATGGATGTTCGGAATGGGAATAAAAAATGACCAAAAAAATAGTGTGATTGACTTTGCATTGGCATGGGATATGGCTGTCATCGTTCTTTATGAAGACTAAAGATTAGTATGTTACCTATACTGCGTGAGAAGAGAAAGTCAGATAGATTTTGTTCTGTGTAGAAGAGGTCAGCCATGGACGTATAAGTTTAAGTGTGTAACTAGTTAACACCGACCGATGATAGTGAATATGGAAATAAAGGTGAGGCGGATAGAAAAGCAAGTAGGTCACCAGAAAGTTAAATGGTGGAAGTTAAAGGATAAGGATTTCGCAATAGCCTTTAAGAGTAGAGTAACTATACGGCAAATGTCTGGTGGGAAGCCAACAGTAAAGTTACGGTGCGAGTGGGAGAGGAAGTGCTAGGAAAAACATCAGGTAAAGGGCCTCCATAAAGACAAAGAAACTTGGTGGTGGAACGATGAAGGCAACAGAAGGTTAGCAAGAAGAAGGAGGCTGGAAAGAGGTACAAAAGGTCTAAAAGAGAGGAAGATACGGATATATACACGAATCGTCTGCACAGCTGACGCATATATGTTCGGTCCAGGATATACGAAGAATGCGTCGGTACACCCACATTTCGAATGCTTCTAGTTTTCTCGTTAGCATCTCCGTCAGCGTCCAGGTCTCCACGCCATACAGCAAGATTGGAAAAATGTAGCATTTAACAAGACGTAGTTTTAGGTGAAGAGACAAATCCTTGCTTATGAGGAGCTTTTTCATATTGCTAAATGCTGCTCTAGCTCGTTCTATTCTCGCCTTAATTTCTATGGCCTGTTCCCATTTTGCATTTACTTGGTGCCAAGGTACACATAAGATTCTACATGGTCAATTAGTACGTTACTTATCCGTAATTGTCGAGCAGGTTGTTGCTTTTTGCTTATCAGCATCCACTTTGTCTTCTTGAAGTTGAGGCTCAGCCGTATTCCTCACTAACTGAATAAAGTCTTTCCATTACTTGTTGTAATTCGTCTATGGTACTGGCAAGGATCACCGTGTCGTTGGCATATCTTATATTGTTCGTTATATTTGCATTTTCCATTCATTTGTTAAATATTTCCTCGGAATACATATTGAATAGGAGTGGGGATAATATACACCCCTGACGGACACCTCTTTTGATCTGCACGCTTTCAGTAAGTTCGTTGTCAATTTTTGCTCTTGCTGTTTGACCCCAATATAGGTTTGCCACAATTCGAATGTCCTTGTCGTCAATACCTGTCTTTCGCAGAATACCTATCAATTGTTCATGATTGACATTGTCAAATGCTTTTCTAAAATCTACAAAGCACAAATACACGTCCTTATCAACGTCTCTATACCGCTGTATAAGCACCTGGAGAGCGAAAATTGCTTCTCTAGTTCCAAGTGCTTTCCGAAAACCAAACTGCGATCTATCAATATTTGACTCACATTTATCATATATTCTTCTATGAATGATCTTAGTGAACGCTTTAGTGACATGATTGATCAAGCTTATAAGCCGGTAGTCATCACAAATCTGGGCATTTGGTTTCTTCGGAATTGTAATAAATGTTGACTGCAGCCAGTTCTCCGGGATTTTACCGCTATTATATATGTTGTTTAAAAGTACAACTAGATTATCAAGGAACTGTTTGTCTGATTTACATAGGATCTTTAATATTTCGCAGGGTAAATTGTCCGGCCCTGCTGACTTATTGTTTTATTAGTGCTGCAATGGCATCTTCTATCTCCGATTTAAGGATTGAAGGTCCTGTTTCTCCTTCTCCATATAGGTGATCATCAGTCCTGTCAGATGCAAATAATTTTTCTATGTATAATTTCCATGTTTTTTAAGATCGTTGATGGCTCCGAGATAAGATTTTCATCGCTATCTTTTATGCTGTTGGGTGACTTATTGAATTTCCTCTTGTTTGTCATCGATTTTATTTTTTTGTGCATAATATTGTATAAATTTATATAAATATAAAAATGTATAAACTTGTTTTATATTATTCTGGTATTATACTAAATTATAATAAAGTAAATTAAAAGAAAAAGTAAACACAAAGTCATTAAAAAAGGTCTTCAAAAATAAGCTATTATCATTACATTCTTATACTTTAAAAAATGGTTGACAGGGAATTTATTTCGAATCGCCTTATTACCGCTTTCAAATTAATAAACATATACATATCGAAACGCAACCGTCATTTATTTTATATACATATGAATTCAAACAAACAATGTCATTGGAAAATGTATACTGTACCTTGAAGAATAATGAGTAATAGAAAGGATTCATCAAAAAATTGAGGCGACGTAGTTATCTGCCAAGTTTCGTTAAAATTTCCCGTCTGAATAGGTTTAAACCATATCGGAAAATCTAGAGATTCACCAGGCAATAAAAGAAGTTCTCTTCTATCAAAATAAAAGGGCGACGACGCTTTTGGGACTACCGGTGTTATATCTCGAAATGTTCTGTATTTCTCGTATATTGAAAAATATATTCTGAGGGTAAAGTTTCCTTTATTTTCAAACTTCAAGTAATTGATTATGGGTAATTTAGGTATTTCTCCTGAATCACATATAACTCTTATCTATAAAGGAGAATAACATATAATTTTTAAATTGCTCCATTTTTGTGTAAATAATTGTGACACACTCATGGGGGATTGGGGCTTACAACCCCCAGGGCATATAAAGTAAAAAAATATATAAAGAATAGTAGAAACATCTTTGTCTTGTCCTTTCACACACTTATTATTGTGTGAGACTGTGACGTGTAGACGTCTGGTTAGATGTTAAATCTGCAGACAAAAAGAGAAGGAATCATTAGTTAAGACAAAACACAGATGAAACTTTTGCCAGTATTTTTGGGCTAGTATCAGCTATTTGAAATGAATTTGGTATTAATATGTCCCTTCCAAGACCAGTAATTTATCAAATAAAGAGAAATAATGTACCAGCATCCATGCCAGAAGAATATTACAGAAGATTTATTTTTAATCCCCTTTTTTGATGAAATTACACAATCCATGAATTATAGGTTTGTGACACACAGAGATTTTAAAACCATTTCAGGACTTACTAAGTATACAGTATAATGAGACGATAGGCAAAACGTTACAAAATCTTAAGTTTGTAGATTTTTATGGCCTTGATGATACAACATAAAAAGAGATTTTTTAACTAACAATGTTTAAAATATTTGAAACGTAAACCGACACCAAAAAATGGCCCATGAAGCTCTAACAAGAGTTCAAGGCAGGACGTGGGTCACGAAGGCTGTAGCGACAATTGATGATGATGATAGCTTACAGAAAACAAAATGATACATTACCTTCATTGTACCTTGTTTTATAACATGTTCAGTAATTCTATTGCCATTTATTAAAAAGTTTACTTTCTCATTATTTGGATCATATAATGTTTCTTCTAATTTCTTTACCTTTAAATCTGTTAATTTTTCTAAAGTTGAGGCCTCAAAGGAGTCTTCCAAATATCTAGATAATTATTAAAAATAATAAAAAGAATTGACAGTATTAAAAAATAAAGATTCGAAAGTTGACATGTTTATGGCATGTGGTAAAACATCCAGAGAAGTGTAATCTTCTCAATTATACAACTTATAGTAAAGGCAAGATCACTGGAAAAGGATGCCCGGTCCAAAAAAAGAACATCCTAGCTCCGAATTTTTAGATGATGGTACTACAGGATATATGCTGATCAATTTGGAACTGCCTTAAACAAAATTAATATAGCCAACATGAAATTAAACATTCCATCATCATTCCATGTTTTGTAATGAGATACTGTTTACCGAAAAAAGAGAGTGGTCTGGAATTGTTTTGTCTTTACGTTTCATCTGTAATTACAACAGACAATATCAAAGGTGTTATGGCAGCAGACGTACACATAATCGCCTGCCGCTCCTGCTCCTATCAGTCACCAATATATAGATATCAGAAACTAAAAAAACAATTTTTAAGTTGAAAAGGATAAAAACATATATAGATAAAGTGAAAAACTATATATCTATTTTACAAATATTGATACTTTAATAACGTAAAAAAGTACTACCAACCAAGCTAACAAACAAAATATTAATGAGTTAAAAGAAAATGCAAAAAAGTATTTTTAAAGTGTGTATATTTTTTAATAATTCCTAGCTGAGCGCTTTCGGCTTTACAAAGCCATCATCGGAGCTATGGTCAATTTATAAATACCACTACAATGGAGAGATCTCATTTCCTTATTTGTTGAAATTTTGATTTTTTTTCTAATTACTTAGTTGTTAAAAATTCTTAAAAAATATACAAAAAACCGACACTGGACTTCACAGACACATTAAAAAAATTTAAAAAAATTAAAAAAAATTAAAAAAATTTTTGTCACGGTACGGGTGTAAGAACCCGACCATTGTTTGCTATGAGGAAGTAACAGAATAGAAAATATTAATGCACCAAATACTTTACTGAAAACCTTAATTCGACCAGTAGCATGCTATGGCAGTGAAGCTTGAGTCTTAAAAGAAACATCCAAAAGCAAACTCGACACATTCGAAAGAAAAGGACTGAGGAGAATACTACCTGTGAGGGAAAACGGAAAGATTGCAAAGATTGCAATGGGCCCAACATGTGATATGAATGGTAGAGGATTGTCTACCAAAAAGAGCACTGAATGCTTGAATGCAGGGAAAGAGACTTGTTGGAAAGCCAAGAAAGCGCTGGGCAAAGTAAACAGCGAAGCACAAGCCCTTTTAGGAGACTGTGTATGGAGAAGATCAGCCACAGAGAAGCAAGGGTGAAGGCAAAAAATAAAGGAGGCCAAGGCTCAATTTGGACTGGAGTGCCGTAGAAGAAGCAATACTTGACTGAAAAAAAGCTGTAAATGAAGACAAACTTTCTACCAATCCTTCGACTAATAAGATAGGAAAATAAACTATTAAAAATGTACAAATAAGATAAATTACCTTTCCCCATGCTTTTCACCAGATTTTAATTCATCTGTACTTTCTTGTTTTGCTTGATTATCTTCTTCTATAAATAACTTTATATCTGAACGATGAGGTCTCAAGTTTTTTAATTTTGTTGAAATATTTTCCAATATCATTTTTCTATATGAGTTCCTTTTCCAAAGCGTAAATATATTTCTAAAATATAAATGATTAATGAATATCGATTTTTGTCACAGAATAATTGCTTAAGTTTTAAGAACGCTGCCCTTGCCATTTCTATTCGTAACCTGATCTCTTTGCCTCGATCTAATTCTACATATATGTGGTTGAGAATTCGGGTGAGTCTCTTTATGTGACCGTCATCTAAGGCTTTTAACAGTTCAACTGGAATTTGATCATTCCTGTTTCAATGTTTATGGAACATATGAATTAATATATTGTTCCCATACTTCCTTTATTTTGCTCTCTTCAGTAAGTATTCCTCCATTATTGTCTTTTGTTATGATTGTGTTCTTTTTTGTCTGGTGTTGCCCGTAAGTTGTTTCATTTTTTATGTAAGTTTGAGGTGTTATGTTTGTTTCTGAGTTCTTCCAGTTCCTGACACTTCTTGTTAATCTTTATTTGTGTATTTTCTTTTTTCAGTTATTAGCTCTTAGATTCTTAGGGATCTTTAATGCAGTGATTTCTCCTTGCCTTCTGCACCCTTATGCCGTTGATTTTGGTTCATTCGCCTTTGAGATCGATTTCTCAATCTCAGCCAAAGAGTGTGGCCCTCCCACTTACCAACTTATGCACCTGAAGCCGTTGGTCAGTAAGTGGAGGTTTGCTTATACCGGCAAACATTTGGTGATTTTGTAGTGTCACAACTGGTTTCTATGTCTATGTTTCCGCCTCTATAACGTCCGAAGCTAACTACGTCTATTTCATGCCTTAAATCTATGAAGATGTGATCAATCTGACTCGATGATCTTCCATCAGAAGAGGTCCAGGTTACCTTCTGTATGTTCTTGTGTTCAAAATAGGTGCTAGCGACTGTCATAAATATTCAGAAATATATTAAAGTTCATAAAGATTTCAAAAATATAATATTATACTGACATAAACAAAACCCAAAATGTACCATGAAAATATTACCTGGTTTTGGGCAATAAATTTTTTTTCATCGAGTGTTTTGAAGTTCGTTCGAATTTCATTTTCGGGATTTCATTTTTCTGTGCGTTGGTAGGCACCGAAAAGTAAATCGGATTTTGACACAAACATTTTTTCTGGCACTGCAATCTGCAATGCTCTTTCAAACTTGGAGGTAAGTTAAAGAATGCGGGGTTTCCTCTATATTTGTCAAAGTCGACGTTGATCTGCATATTTTCAAACAGAATCTGTTCTTGTCGTACTTGTCTATAATCTTCAGCAACATTCATGAGTAAGTCACCAGGTTCTCGATTAAGTCTTTCGGCTAACCTCTTGTTAGTTTCGACTCGGATTTTTTCCCATTTTTCCTCATCTTGTAGAAGGTCATTACATTCTTGATCCGTTAATGTATTACGTTTATTATCTCCTTGTTCGAGAATGTTCTGTGAAGCTGGTGTTTCTAAAAAGAATTTAACAAAATTTACATTTATCCGTATTCAGAGTTATAAAGTAAATGAGTGGGATGACAATACTAAGATGGGTATACAGGATGGTATAGTAGAAGCAATAATTAGAACGTAGTGCAGGTAAGATAGGTAATGGATGGCAAATCATAGCACTGGAATACACGCGTGCACACAATAATTGCCTACTGTTAAATAAAAGACTATCATTATTCATCATCGATTTATACATAAGAGAGTTACATTGTCGAACTAAACAATAACATGAAGAAAATATTATAAAAAAAGTAAAATATATCAAAAACTCAGTGTCGGTGGCTTATTTATATTTATCAATTTTAATGGCTTCCATTGTAAACACGTTCTATGGGAAATAAAGATCATTATGAAGTTATTAGGAGAAGCGAATCAGTTTTAATCCCCAATGTCCACGCAAAGCAAACATGTTTCTTTGTCGATTTGGGTATTGGCCATTAGCCTGAAAGCTCAGTTCTATTTAATTTTCGCAAGCGGATAAAAGTACCTACATCATGGAGTACTTGCCAGTATCTGTCGTGAATTTCAAAATTAGTGTGCAAATAAAACGTGTGCAAGACGAACTAAAACTGGTAAAAAAAAACGAAGAAAAACAGTTTCCAGTCTAATTCACGTGAGAATACTTACAATAAGGGAGTAAAATCTCCAATAAGGAAAATATACATGATTTTTTTTGGAAACATACCACCAACCATCAACAGCATAATGAACAAAGTGAAGGATGATGAGAACCTACCAGCTTTTCCAAAAACCACATTTCGTAGGCTACTAAATGACATGGGTTTTGAATCTGGTAAAAGAGTTGGAGATAATGTCGAAAAGAAAAGATATCATATACTGGAGACACAAGTATATATATGAAAGGGGTTCCTACAGCTGTCGCTGTCTCCCTTCTCTCAACCATTTCCTCCATTCTTCTTTTTCCTCCCATTTTCAGTCTTCCAATATTCTTCTTTACATGGCTTTATCTATCTCATCTCTGAAAGATCTTCTTGGTCTGCCTCTTTTGCGTTTTCCTATGGGGCTTCACTCTGTTATTTTTGCTATCCATCAGTTTGGGTCTATTCGTCTGACATGTCCGTACCACGTTAATCTTTTCTCTTCAATGTAATTTAAGGTGTCTTTCTTTATCTCCATTCCTCTTTTGATTTCGTCGTTAGTTATTTTGTCCATTATGGAAACTCTGCAGCTTCTTCTCCAGTAGTCCATTTCTGTGGCGTTTATTTTGTTTCTGCTGCTTTTGTTTAAGACCCAATTTTCTGCTCTATATGTTAGAATGCTCCAAGTCTTCGTGTTATATAATTCTTTTTTTGATATTTTTTGTTATGTGTCAGTCCCATAGGATTGGATTCAGTTAACTTATAGAGTTTCTGGTTTGACCCACTCGATTTTTAATTTCTTCTTCTATAGTACCTTTATTTGATATAATGAACCCCAGATATTTAAATTTACGGCCCCCTTTATTTCACGCCCGTCATCCACTTTCAGGTTTCTTGTTGATTCTTGTGTTGTTTTCAGATGTTCTGTTTTGTTAATGTTTATTTTCAGACCATTTATATTATATTCTTCTTCTAGTTTTCGAACCATATAACTTAGATCTTCCTCGTCTTGTGCTATTATGACCTGATCGTCGGCGAAACTGAGGGTATACAGATGGTCGTTCCTTACGGGTACTCCCATTCCCTCACATATCCTTTTCCATGGTTTTAGGGAGTATTAAAGAAATAGTTTAAAGAGTGTAGGTGAAGTCAAGCAGCCCTGTAGGAAACCTTTTCGTGGTTTTAAATGGTTTTCCAAACTTGTTACCTACCTTGACTGTAACATTATTATGTGTGTACATGGACTTCGTTACATGGATAAGCTTATCTTCTACTTCTATTTGTTGCATGTCTTCCCACAGTCGTTTTCTGGGCACAGAGTCGTATGCCTTTTTTAGGTCAATAAAGGCTAAATGGACTGGTCTGTTCTTTGCCATCTTTTTCTCTATTAGCTGTTGTATAGTGTAGATGTGGTCAACACATGATTTTCCAGCTGTAAAACCTGCCTGGTCGACCTGCCTGGTTTATTTATTTTATTTTTCCATATAATCTTCCTACAGATGGTAAAATGCTTAAGCCTCTGTAATTTTCACATTTCCTTCTATTCTCTTTCTTGACTATAGATATAATATGGGCTGTCGACCATTCTTCAGGTTGTTGTTCGGTGTCCAAGGCTGTCTGAAACATGGTATGTATCATACGGAACAATTTTTCAGAGCCGTATTTAATTAGCTCAGGTGCTATCACCTCCGGTGCCTGCAGACTTATTATTTTCTATTTGTTTTATGTTCTTTTTTACTTCTTCCGATGATAAATTTAGTTGTTCCTTTGTATTTGTTGTTTGTTGTTCTTTTTCCATGAATTTTATTCGCTTTTCTTTCAGGAGTTCTTGGTAGTAATCATTCCATTGTTTTTCGCTTATGAAAGTAAAATGTGGTTTTTCCTGTGTGTTTTCTTTCAGACTCTTTATCACTTTTCAGGATTCTGAGTTCTTTGTACCTCCTATGTATTGTTCGATGTTCATACATGTTGATTCCCAGTTATCATTTTTATCTTTTGTTATTAATCTTTTTACCTCTCTGTTCTTCTCTCTGTATCTTTCTAGGTCCACTTGTTCTTTTGACCTTAACCATTTATGATATAGCTGTTTCTTCTGCTTAATACATTCTTCCGTGCTTTCTGATAGACGTTGTCGATATCTATTTGTTCTTCTCTCTTCGCAACCTAAGGCTTCCGCTGCTGCTTCCTTTATGCAGGATTTTATATGTTTATATGTTTCGTCTATGTTCTCAAAACTAAACTCCTCCAGTTTTTGCTCTAACTTCGTGTATACAAGCTTCACGGATTCTTCCCTTAGCAAGTGTAGTTTGTACTTCGTTTCAGCCTGCGTTTGAGTTTCATTTACCACTGTTCTTTTTGATTGATTGACTTTTCCAAGGGAATCGCATGTTTGCTTTTAGTAATTTGTGGTCAGAACCACATTCCGCTCCCTCTTCACTCTGACATCTGTAACTCTGATCGATGTTTCGATTTTAATTATGAAGTAGTCAATTATAGCTCGAAGGCTTCTTGTTTCTTGGTCCAGGTGGTTCCAGGTCAACTTGTGGATATCCTTGTGGCGGTAGAATCCATTTGGAATTTTCAGTCTGTTTATTTCACATATTTCGATTATTTTTTCTCCATTTCCATTTGTCGCTTCTTCTCCATATGTTCCTACTGTTTGACTTTTTTGTTGTTTTCTTGTTTTTACCGTTCAGATCTCCTGTAAGAATAAGTTCTTGCTCTTGTTTGACCTTTTCTATTTGATCCTGTAGGGCTTCCATGAACTGTTCTTTTTCTGTTTCAGGTCTATCATCTGTAGGTCCGTAAACTCCTAAGGCTATTATCCTTCTTCCTCATAGTTCCAACTCCATTTTTATACTTCTTTACTTGATGGGTTCCCAAGACTTTATGGCTTTTCTCCGTTTATTTTTGATTAAAATTGCTGCTCCTGCTATTGCTCTCTGCTCTTTTATCTGAGACACAAGTACCTCAGACAAATAAAAACATTGAAGAAAAAGTATAATGTAAAGGAATGGAGAGAGACAATGGTCAAGAATCCAGAGATGCCTTCATAAAAGGGGCTCTTGACTCTCCAAAGAGGTCCTCGGTTTATTCTTCTTCATGCTGGAAGCGAACCTGGTTTTGTGGCATGGGCCAAATAAACTTTTTTGGCCAAGAAGGAAATCGCTGAGTACAGTGATGAAATAGACGGGGATCTATATGCAGAATGGTTAAAGAAAACATATAACGTTTTGGATTGATATCGGACACGTCTCTTTGTATAATTGTAATTTGTCAAAATATTCTCAAGCTAAGTGAATCGACTAAACCTACCAAAAATCACATATTGCAAAAATATAGCAAAGTGACAATAATTTGTTCAATTTTATCAAACTCTACAGTTAATCTTGCTTACTAATTCGTGTTTTGTACTCCTATTTACCAGATAAATCTAAATTCTTTACGAGAAACAGTATCTTCAATTTAGATTGAACGTAAACGAGAAGAGATTTAAGAAACTTCGGAAAACATTTTAAGTATTACCCTATTTTTGTGTTTCCAAGTAAGTATCGTCGATCTTGACCGTTCTAAATATGGTGCATTGATAATATTTATCAAAATAAAAGTTGTTAAAAGTTACCGTGCTAAACATTTTGTACACATCAATTTCAGTAAATAATGTGGTACCTAACGTAATATGAGTTTATCCATGTACCTAACGTAATATGAGTTTTAGTGCTATTATAATGTTTAATGAAATTATTAATGTATCAAATGATTTTACGTGATATACAATGATACGATAAAATATATAATTATTATTAAATACTATCCATATCAAATTTAAACTATTTTAAATCTCACAAAAGGACTTTAGTTAAATACCTGTGAAATTTATCTGAGTTGCAGTTCGATATTCTTCAGCAATATTCACGAGCAATTCACCAGATTCTGGAATCGCACTGTCGCCTTTTCGGAACGTTTTGTTGCTTTCTATTTGGAACTTTCCCCATTTTTTCCAGCTTTGTGAAGATTTATTATAATTTTGATTAGAGAGTATATCAAGTTTGTTGTCTTCTTCTCCGGGGGGTTTCTGTGAGGCTGTATTAATTATCGCTTCTGAAAAGCATTTACAAAATGTACATTCATTCATGTTTAGTATTAAAAGTATTAACACTTTTCATGTAATGTCAATTGACATGAAAGATGACAATTACTAAGATGTACTCATATTGTTTACAGTCATGAACAAAAGTTATAATGACTGATTGCGTAATCTTATTCCAAATCATATCATACAAGAAACAACTAAAAAATATAAAACTATTAATTATCGCAAACAACAATGAATGATTAAATCTCGAGACTAATAGAAAACAGACGAAGATATAAAAATAAAAATACTAAAGAATATAACAAAATAAAAAAAATCAGGGATGCAAAAGAAAAATGATACAGCATCAAATGCTTTAAAATAAAAGAACTGCAGAAAAATAATGGCGCGTTTAATATCTGCAAAAACGTGCAAGAAGTAACTGAACCCTACAAATCAACTGCAAATAGTCTACCTGAAAAGCAAGAAAATATTACAGTCAATATACAAGACAAACTGGATTGTTAAAGAGAATGTATTAAGGAACTGTTTGATGATGAAAGAACAGAAATTCAAATTAAAAATATATCGACTGGACCAAACATCATAACCTTTAATGAAATGTAAATAGCCAGCCAAGTAATAATGGTGCCGTTTCTTGTATACTAATTTCTAATGCTTTCTATCGAAGCAATATTCAGTTTTTAAATCTCTGGCAGTCCTGCATCTTCGACATCTTCTATCCAGGACCTCGTTTTCTTCTAGTTGGCGGAGTTCATCGTTTATCTTTTTTGGCCATCTATTTTCAGCATTCTCTGCAGGTGTCCCTACCAGTTTAGTCTTTTGGCTTCAGTTGTGTCTATTATCTCTAGATCCATTTTCATTTTTTTTCCGAATACCTTCGTTTCTCACGCTATCAAATATAGTCAGATTCAATAGTTCATTTCTATTTTTGATTTGTTTCTTTGATTTATTTTCCGGTTTCAGCGAGGTACAAAACAATACTTTCTGTTATTGTTTTATGATTTTTTTTATATTCTTTGTTTTTGTTATTATTCCATAATAGTCCATATAGCTCTCTAGAGACTAATCTTACTTAGCAAATCCTGGAATGTGTGTCGTCGGTGCTCTCTTCCCTGCTTTTCTGGGTTTTCTTTTGCAACTAATAATAATACTTAATAATAAATGTCTTTATTAATAAACAAATTAATTTCCTTTCCAATAAAATATTAGATCAGTAGGGCGAGATTCAGTTTGTATAGTACTGTGTAACAGCGGCATACAACTGCTCTTCCACTTAACCCCAACTAATTACTTGGTTTTTGTATATTGATTATGAGGCCTCACTTGGTGTACTGCTCTTTCAGTTTCTATGCATATAGTCCATAACATTCTCGTCTTAAGCTAGAATAGCTTGGTCGTCAGCGAAGTCTACTTAGAATCTACGATCTACTATACCAAGAAAACCATCCAACATCTTACAGGTGGCTGCCAAGGGTCTATCGGTCCTGATTATAAAGAACGACATGACTCAGTAGGAAAGATTATCTATCAAGAACTAGCTAACAAACTGGGACTTCTCCAAACCGACCATCTTCCTTCCTATCAATACGTCCCCGATCGCACTGTGCTCACAGACCAACCAGTGACACATAATAGACCGGATCTCATACTAGTTAATAAACTTACTAGGCAAACAACACTTATTGATGTGGCCCTACCTAACATCATTAATTTGCATGTTAAATACAACGAAAAGATCGCTAAGTACAGATATCTAAAAATATAAATCAGGAGACAATGGAGAATGAAAAGTACTCAGATAGTAATTATTATTCTATCTACTACTTGTGTTATTTCCAAAAACCTCTTAGAGAACATAAAACAGCTAGATCTAAATGAACATCTCTATGTTGATTTAAAAATAGAATATAACAATTATACGATAAATTATGTTGATATCAGGTTGAATGCTTGAATACATGAACTTTGATCAAATAAAAGGCAGATATCGAGCATAGTTTTATTAATTAAATTTGCCCAAGTATTTTCGCTTCCTAGAGCATCTTCAGCGGCACTTCGTCAATTGTGGCGGCCTATCCAACAAGCTGTTTATAACATTTTATTCTTGTTACATTTGACCACAATTGACGAAATGCCCCTGAAGATGCTCTAGGAAGCGAAAGTACTTGGGCAAGATTTAATTAATAAAACTGTGCTTGATATCTGCCTTTTATTTGATCAAAGATAAAATATGTACTTATCATCTATGTATTAGAAGGAAACTCACTAAAGAACTTTTATTAAATACCTGTGAAATATATGTTAGATGCTGTTTGATATTCTTGAGCAGTATTCACGATCAATTCACCAGATTCTAGATTTATTATGTCACCTTTTCGGAACGTTTTGTTGCTTTCTACTTGGAACTGTACCCATTTTTTCCAATTTTGTGAAGATTTATTGTAATTTTGGTTAGAGAGTATACTACCTTTGTTGTCTTTTTTTTCGGGGGTTTTCTGCGAGACTGCGTTAATTGGCGGTTCTAAAAAGCATTTACAAAATGTACATTTATTCATATTTACAACTAAAAATAATTAACACCGTTCATGTCACGTCGATTGACATTACATTTGTCAAAAGTTATTATCTCTGATTGCATAACCTTATCTCAAAGTATGTTAATAGACATATAATACAAATAAGAAAAAATTTACGCAAAGCGGTTCCGGTATTCTCTTTCTAATGGACCGGGTTTCTCGACCACGTGACCTTCCCATTTGTCATTTATGTTGAGTTATCATTTTTCAACGATATTTATGTGGATGAATCCATATTTTTCTCATAATAATAATTTATGTTCTTGTAATGGCATAACTTTGATTATTTGGTAAACTTATACATCACAAGAAATTAAACAAAAATCATTAAAACGTGTTTGTTAATAAATTCACTGTATAAGTACGATTTTATATTCCGTACTATTTTGTAGAGCAGCGCTGACACAATAGAGCAGTACATCGTTATACATAAGTATGTTTAAATAGACATCTTCGCTTAATTGGTGCATGAGTAATAAAGTTATCAGAATTAAATAGCATGCCAGTCTTCATACATGATTTTGACTTTAGAGAAAGTGCGCAATATATGGAACACCGTTTTGTATTGGGTTTGTAATTTTTTTGTTTCTTAAAATAATGTGTGATTCTTTATTCATAAATAGTAGAGTAAATAGACTGGCAAAAGGCTTCTAGAATAGATTTTGGTGGGCACTTTGTTGCTAAAATGTAAAACCTATTTTTTTTCGTTTCTAATATCTTTCTAATGCAAAATCACTTGGTCGTCCAAAAATCGTAGCGGGAGGGGAGTGGTGGGGAGCCTTACAAAAAAAAAGTGCTAATTTTTTTTTCGTCATTTTTCGGATCTACGATAACCGAAAATTCATTCCTCAAATTTTCATGTTGATCTGGACATTAGAAATATTTTTATTTTATTTATAAAAATACGTCAAACCATTGTTGTATACGGAGCGCCTTCATACAAAATCACTTGTTCTGAAAACCCATATTTTTAAAATCTTTTACCTCGCTCTACCTCGAAAAATATTGGGTTTAGCAAAAAATTACTTTCTATAAACATTATAGACCAAAAATCAGAGAACACGTGGGTTTTTTTAGAATTTCGATTGGATAATTAGTTTAAGAAAAAATTAAATAAATCGAACGGCATGTCACGACTGACAGTGCTGAACGCGGAGATGCGAGGAAGGGCGAGATTCCTGTGCCGAAGTCAAAGCAAATCGACTCTAGTGATGGCGATGTTGTTAGGGTCGATTTTACATTGAAACGCTGTTGTGTTGTATATTCTATTGCGAAAGTGCATCACTGTGCATTATTTTTTACTAATAGCGCGAAATCCACTGAGCTGAGATTTTTAATATTAAAAGTTTTAAATTATTAAAAGTTATTAATTAGCTTATTGCTATAATAAAAATATTAAATATCTACTTAATATTAAAGTAAATATTTTTTTTATCTAGAAACGGATTTAACGAAAAGCAGCAGGTCTGACAGTGAACTTGAGTGAAAAATCAGATTAAGGCATGTTTTTTTTTCCATAAAGTCCATTTCCTTTTCAGTTTGTTGAAGGACGCGGAAACTGGAGAATACATTTTTGTTCTAGTTTTCGAAAAATGCATCCTTACTTTTTTGCATTTGGCCATGTGAACTATTCTTTTTGGGGAACATTATATTTGTTGGACATGTACAAATTTGCTGATAAGTATCCAGAATTTCATGAAGACTTTATTAGAGGAAATTTTGTTGTGAAAAGTTGGAACAGAAACTTTTACCAACTATGTATAGATATAGCTTTAAACACATAAATACAAACTCAAAACATGCAGGAGGAATCGTGTGATTTACTAAAACCAGCACAAAACTAGACGAATGGTTTTTAAGCTACAATATGATTGGCATGATGGTAGATGAATTTCGTGCATCATGAGACCTAAGCAACCACTCAAGTCAAAACGTAGAAAGTAGAAAAAAACGGATGAAAATTGATGAATATTCTGTACAAAAACTACATGATCAGTTTTTACGATTTAATGTATTTTTAAAAAGCGTAGATTGTCTTCTCGTAATTTCAGCTAATGAGATTGCATCGCCAAATGTTCAAACATCCTTATTAATATACAAAAAATGAAAAAGAGAGCCTAGCAAAATTTATTGTTACTGTTGGAACTCCCAATTTTTATCAGCATAGAAAAGAGAATAATCTTCCAACACTTCGTCGCGCAGATACCTATAAAACTGTCTCTGAAAAGAAGAAGATTATTCAAGCTGAGCAAGAATTTTTACAAAAAATACTAGCAATCAAGGCAATTGAAAGAGACCTAAATATTATGAGGATATTTTCAAATAGGAATTAACAGCATATCCAATGTCACTTGTACCAGCAGGAGTTTTATCGATACCATAAAATAAATCTGCCTTAGGTTCTATAATAGAACAGTTTACAGTTGTTACAAAATCACAAAACGTGTCACATTTTTGATGGTATGGGATTGATTCAAGCCGTTGGCAAACCATCAAATGCCAAAACATTTGACGACTATGCAAGAATTTTGAAATCAATAGTGTTCAAGAACCCCTACAGCGTTAAAAGGATCGATTTTGTTTTGGATCACTACAAGGAATCTTCCATAAAAACTGCACGAGACAAAAGAGAGGCGCCAAAATTGAATCAATACAACGGTTAATTGAAGGTCCGGATACAGTATTACCTCAAAAATGGAATTCATTTATTAATTGAGTTTTTAATAAAAACCAGCTTACACACTTCGTAAGCAATCAGCTAGTTAAATATTCCTTAACAAATTGTACCGGTCACTTCGTATCCAGCAGAGGATTTTGCGACGTTTTACATTACAAAACAAATTTTGGTTTGAATTCTGAAATATTAGTCTCATCACATAAAGAGGCCGATACCAGAATAATATTACACATTCTGTCAGCAAAAATGGAGGGATATACAAAATGTATAGTCGACTGTAAAGTTACCGATCTGCCCATTTTAAAGACCTTTCAACTCCAGAAGTTTAGATGAGGGTTGGAACAAAGGACAACGAAAGATCTATAGGTATTCACGAACTCTCTATGGATTACTTTATAGGTATCTGCAGTTAAGCTACAATATGCCAATCATATTGTAGCTTAAAAACCATTCGTCTAGTTTTGTGCTGGTTTTAGTAAATCACACGATTCCTCCTGCATCTTTTGAGTTTGTATTTATGTGTTTAAAGCTATATCTACAAATAGTTGGTAAAAGTTTCTGTTCAAACTTTTCACAACAAAATTTCCTCTAATAAAGTCTTCATGAAATTCTGGATACTTATCAGCAAATTTGTACATGTCCAACAAATATAATGTTCCCCAAAAAGAATAGTTCACATGGCCAAATGCAAAGAAGTAAGGATGCATTTTTCGAAAACTAGAACAAAAATGTATTCTCCAGTTTCCGCGTCCTTCAACAAACTGAAAAGGAAATGGACTTTATGGAAAAAAAACATGCCTTAATCTGATTTTTGACTCAAGTTCACTGTCAGACCTGCTGCTTTTCGTTAAATCCGTTTCTAGATAAAAAAATATTTACTTTAATATTAAGTAGATATTTAATATTTTTATTATAGCAATAAGCTAATTAATAACTTTTAATAATTTAAAACTTTTAATATTAAAAATCTCAGCTCAGTGGATTTCGCGCTATTAGTAAAAAATAATGCACAATGATGCACTTTCGCAATAGAATATACAACACAACAGCGTTTCAATGTAAAATCGACCCTAACAACATCGCCATCACTAGAGTCGATTTGCTTTGACTTCGGCACAGGAATCTCGCCCTTCCTCGCATCTCCGCGTTCAGCACTGTCAGTCGTGACATGCCGTTCGATTTATTTGATTTTTTCTTAAACTAATTATCCAATCGAAATTCTAAAAAAACCCACGTGTTCTCTGATTTTTGGTCTATAATGTTTATAGAAAGTAATTTTTTGCTAAACCCAATATTTTTCGAGGTAGAGCGAGGTAAAAGATTTTAAAAATATGGGTTTTCAGAACAAGTGATTTTGTATGAAGGCGCTCCGTATACAACAATGGTTTGACGTATTTTTATAAATAAAATAAAAATATTTCTAATGTCCAGATGGGTATGCAAATTTGATGAATGAATGTTCGGATATTGTACATCCGAAAAACGATGAAAAAAAATAATTGCATTTTTTTTTGTAAGGCTCCCCACCACCCCCCTCCCACTACGATTTTTGGACGACCAAGTGATTTTGCCTTACAAAGATATTAAAAACCAAAAAAAATGGTTTTTACATTTTAGCAATAAAGTTCCCACGGGATAACACAATAGGATCCTGTTTAAACTATACTAAAATACATATTAATGTTTCATATATCAGATGTTATTATTCAAAATGGGAAAATCTGCATACAGGGATAGTCAAAAATGACATATCAAAAAAGTAAATTTTACACCTAATATGGAATATGTACTTAATATGCTGTGATCCTAATATGGAACACAGTAATGTGCATTTAAATAAAAAAAAATAAGATTTAAAATAAAACACTATTTATTTTACGAAATTCTTTATTTTTATATTTTAACTTTTTAGGATTTAGATACTTTCTATCCCTTGACAAAACAGGTTAATTGTCTTTGCAAATCTCACAAATAAAGATATCAGTTTCACACCCGGAACAATCTATAAGGCACCATTCTTTGCAGACGACAACGCAATGTATCCACTTCTCTCCTTTTCTATCTTCCAAAAATTTTCCATCGCAATAGAAATAAGTAGCACCCTCTTCTCTAGGATTGTCTGCTGCAATGTTTACCATGTCATGATCATCGAAAGAATCGTCTTTGCAATTTACTAATTCGGATTCTGAAGAGGAATCTTGAAATATTGTCTTCTTCTTCGTCTTACGTAGATGGTAACTACAGGATGGTTGTTGGTTATCTAATAATTCCATTAGTACTTTTTGCTTTACTGTTTTCGGCTTGTTTTGAAGAAGAATTAATTGAAGTTTCTAAAGCGTCTTTGTGTGGAGA